AGAGCAGATCCTGGAGCTCCTCATGTTGGAGCAGTTCCTGACCATCCTGCCCGGGGAGATCCAGATGTGGGTGTGCACACAGCGTCCCAGCAGTGGCGAGGAGGCTGTGGCGCTAGTGGAGAGCTTGAAGGGTGACCCGCAGAGACTGTGGCAGTGGATCAGCAGCCAGGTACTGGGACAGGAAAGCTCACCCAAGAAGATGGAATCTGCAAGTTGCCAAATAAGGGAGGAAGAGTCCAGTTTTGAAGTGGTGCCTCAGGAGCTGGGACTTGAGAATTCAACCTCAGGGCCTGGAAAGCAACTGAGCCACATCATCAAAGAGGAAGCTGACACTGAGCCCGAATTAGTAATAACTGCTCCCCAGCTTCTTGCCCAATCTGAGGAAAGGCTCTTCAGCAACCAGGACTCAAGAGGCTCCCTTCTCCAAGCATCATCTCAGGAACAATGGAGAAACCTGGATTCTACTCAGAAGGAGCACTTCTGGAACGTCATGCTGGAGAACTATGGGAAAATGATCTCAGGAGGTACTTCCAGTCCAAAACCTGACTCAGCTAATTCAGCAGAGTATGGAGAAGAGCTGGCAGGACTCCCCTTTGATGCCACTGAGAAAATTCTACCATCCACCTGCAGTGGAGACAAACAGGAGAATGGCAAAGAGAATGTAAACTTGGAAACCTACTGGGATCAGAAGCCTCCAGCTGCTCTTTGTTATGTCTCAGGAGAGGCCCCTCCTCAGGATTCTTTGAGTGGCTTCTTTGGTGAAAATGAACAAAGATGTTTTACACAAGATTATCTCAGCAAGGTACAGGGACACTGCCAAAGTGAGGAAAGAAGGAAACAGCTGTCTTCTCAGGAAAAGGTTCCTGCTAAACAGGTCAACCAGGATTTGCCTGATTCTCACCCAAGAGATCTAACTGCACTGTTGCTCAAGCTGAAGCAACAGACCCCCCCAGAAGGACCAACTGAGACCTCCGATGATCCAGGAGCTTCTCACCTGCAGAGAGTGTGGGAAAACCTTCAGTAGAAATTATTAGCTTGTGGTTCACCAGAGAACTCATACTGGAAAGAAACATTTTCAGTGCCCCACCTGCAAGAAAGCCTTTCTGTAGAGTTCAGATTTTGTGAAGCATCAGAGAATACACACCAGAGAGAAAGCCTGCATATCTGATGATTGTGGGACAGGCTTCAGTGACTTTTCTGGATTACACTACCATGAGAAGATCCACATGGAAGAGAAATCGTATAAATGTCCCATCTGTGTAAAGATGTTTGGCAACCAGTGTGCCTTAAACAGACGCCACAGTGTGCACACAGGAAAGAAACCCTATAAATGTTCTCTTTGTGAAGAAAGTTCCAGCTACATGTCTAACTTAAATATTCATCAGTGGGTACATACAGGAGAGAAACCCTATAAATGTCCTCTCTGTGAAAAGAGTTTTACTCATATGGGCCACTTTAATAGACACCAGTGGGTCCACACAAAAGAGAGACCCTATAAATGTCCCATCTGTGAAAAGAGATTCATTGAGAGATCCAAATTTAATAGACATCTGCAAGTCCACAAAGGAGAAAACATGTAAATGTTCTCTCTGTGAAGAGCTTCCACCACAACAAGATAAACAACCCAGTTGTAAAATGGGCACAGGATATGAACAGACACTTCACCAAAGAAGACATTCAGATGGCCAACAAACACATGAAAAAATATTCAAAATCCCTAGCTCCAAGAGAGATGCAAATAGAAACAACTATAAGATATCATCTTACCTCAGTAAGAATGACAAAATTCAACAGAGCAGCAAATAGCAAATGCTGGAGAGGTTGTGAAGAAACTGGAACTTTTACTCACGTTGGTTGGAGTGTAAAATGGTGTAACCACTGTGGAAGGCCGTATGGCGCTTTCTCAAAACGTTGGAAACAGAATTAACATTTGACCCAGAAATTCCACTACCTTAAAGAAACAAGAGCTGCCACCCAAGCAGATATATGCACACCCATGTTTATTGCGGTTTTGTTCACAATAGCAAAGAGTTGGAAACAACCTAAGTGCCCATCAACAAATGAATGGATAGAGGAGTTCTGGTATATTCACATAATGGAATACTATGCTGCATTGAAAATCAAGGAACTCATGAAATATCATACAAAATGAGTGACCCTGGAGGACATTCTGCTGAGTGAAATATCTCAGTCACAAAAGGACAAATATTGCATAGTGCCACTATTGTAAAATGCGACTGACATCGGGGTTGGGGGGAACCTAAGAAGAGGGGATAAATAATACATGCTGCATTGAAAGAGATGAGGGAAAACTGTTTAAAAAATATAGGGTTAGGTATTATTTTCATGACAAAAGTACAGAAAAAAATTGCCTATTAAAGTGGACTGAAAAAAATATAGGGTTAGGTATTATTTTCATGACAAGATTACAGAAAAAAACTGCCTATTAAAGTGGACTGGGGGATTATATAATAATGAAAGAATATTTTTTTTCTTCAAAGAGAAAAACGAACTGAGGAGGGGGAAGGCTACGCAGGGAGGAAAATGTGCAACAGTGAATGAATGGGGGGAAATTAAATTGGAAAGAATATGCTGTAAAAATATATATATTGTATTAAAATATAATTAATAATAATAAAAGAATTTTTTAAAAAAAGAATGCTCTCTTATCTAAGTGACCATCAACCCAACTCAACAGAGAACAAATTAACAGTTTGGCCACCTGGGTAAAAGATACAACTTAGCAAACAGCTGAGCAAAATGTGGGTGAGTGAGACTTCTGGCAAGGGATCAGGAAAACAGGTAGAATTTGTGGCTTTGGAATTAGCTCCTTAGGGATTATATCCTCCAACGAGAAAAAAGTCCTCTCAGTAGATACTGAGCTACATTAGCAGAGGCTAATGAATCCACCTGGCCAATGGAGAGATGCCCACCAAAATCAGAGAAAATGGGTGTTAGGCCAACTTGCTTTCACTGTGAGCTCCACCCAAAAGGACAGAGAGACAAGATTTAGAGCAAGATGAGAATTTTGCCCATCAGTTTTTTTGGATTCTAAAAGACGAAATGCATTGGGAAAGTCTGCTGTCAGAGACCTCTCCAAAATACTGAAGAGCAACAATGTCAATCTGGAGACTAAGGTATGCCTGATACAGGCCATGGTCTTTGCAATTACTTGCTATGCGTCAGAGAGTTGGACAATGACTAGGGAGGATAGAAGGAGAATTGATGCCTCTGAGCTGTGGTGCTGGAGAAGAGTATAGAATAGCTAGAAGAACAAACAAGTTCATCCTGGAAAGGGTAAAGCCAGGCTGCTTCTTAGACTCAAGGATTCTGAAGCTTCGTCTGACATACTATGGACATGTTGCAAGGCAGGATCAGTCCTTGGAGAGGGGCGTCATGCTTGGGAGGGTGGAGGGACAGTGCAGGAGAGGAAGACCCTCAAAAAGATGGACTGATTCAGTGACTGGGGTAATAGGGATAGGCGTGTCGGAGACAATAAGATTGGCAAGGGATGGAACAGGGTTTAAGGCTGTCATACATAGGGTCGCTATGACAACAGCATACAACCACCACCACCACAACAATAACCTTAAATATGTTACTACTTTTACCCACCCCCCCCTTCTTTATTTCTTGCCTGTCCTCTACAACAGAAGCACTGAAGGGGAGACTTAAAAAAATTCAGTGATAACAAGTCAGAACCAACTCTAGCTGACCCTCCAGTGGGTTTTTAAAGCCATAAATTTCACAAGAGTTTGTCCATCTTTCTTGTGAAAGTCACTGACAGATCAGAAAGCCCACAAAAAAAGGCTACAAAAAAATGTAGCCTTTGGATTAGTAGCACAACTTCTCACAGCCCACCAGGGCTCCCTCATATTAGTAAGACAGCGAGTTTTAGAGCGCAGAGGACCATTAATGCCTACAGATCCATTAATTTAATCAAGGTGGGTTGCATTTTTCCAAAAGCCAAAATGCTATGTAAATATAAAGGAGGATACGGGGTGGGGGGGAGCAATACAGCTTTAAGGATGATCTAGAGCTAGGGACACCTCCCCCCATCTCATTGCTATGAAGTTGAAACTGATTCCTAGCAGACCCTCCAGCAGGTTTTCAGGGCTGTTAATAGCAAGGGAGGAGACTGCCCTTCTTTCTCCCTTACATCTGGTGGAGTTGGCAGTATACCCTCTTACCCACTAGGCCACCAGATGAAGAAGAGGATTGAAAAGAGCACCATTTCTCCAATCTTGTGGGGCAAAAACTCTAGGTAACTTTAAACCTGAGATTCTAAACTATCAAGGCGAGCCAACAACCCTGGAAATGTGAGGGAGGAAGGCCATGGGACCAGCCCTTATCTCACTTCTGATGGCTGTTTCCCCAGGCCTGAGTGCTCACTGACTGTCGGCTCCTCAAGGATCATCTACACATCTACCACCAGGAGGAGGACTCCAGGGTTTGGGCAATTTCATTTCAACTCATCTCTGCTGGCTGAGAACATTCCTCCCCAAAATCACCCTGACCTTCTCATGAAGTGCCCTGAACACCCCATCCTAGAACAGTGTGAAAAGTGTGTGCAGGGCCATTTCTCCACATGTGCATTAACAACTGCAACATGAGAGCGGAAAAACTTGAGGCCAAGGGATGAAATTCATTCAAATGACAACCTGTTCCATCACTGGCTATTCCAGGAAAGTAGGGAGTGGAGATCTTTAATGGGAAAGGAAATATGTTATTCTACATACATCATAATTCCCTTCATGACTTAGGAAGGAAGGAAGTGAAATCTATTTGAGTTCAACGTCTGCCTGACTAGCCTGATGCTGACCCTTTATGCCATCCAAAGGACTGAAGAGTGAGAGTGAGTGAGAGACAAAGACAGAGTGTGTGTGTGTGTGTGTGTGAGAGAGAGAGAGAGAGAGAGCGAGAGAGCACTGCAAGGACTCACAGGGGCACCATGAGCCCTCCCTGTGGGGCATGGCCTGCCTCCCAGGGCTGGGATTTACCAATGTCACTCAGCAAGGTGAGGATGGCTCCTTCCCGCAGGCCACAGCAATTCTCAAACTGGTTCAGGTACTGTCAAGAAATTGAAAGGAAGCATCACAGTAAGTGTCACAAGTCAACTGTACAGCTACAAGTGGTTTTTTTATCAGCTAATATGCCACCAGAGCTCGCTAGTGACAACAGTTGTCATGTGCCACAGAGTTGATTGTTCATAACAGCCTTATGAACAGCTGATCTGTACCCTGCCCTGTCCTGTGCCACCCTCACTGTCTCTGATACTTGAGATCTCTGTTACTGGCACTGTTGTCAATCCATCTCACTGAAGGTCTTCCTCTCCTCCTCTGACCCTCCATCTTTCCAAGCATGATTTTTTTTCAAGTACAGATACCCCAAAACAACATGCCCAAAGCAAGTGAGATGAAGTTTTGCCATCTCTGCCTCTACGGAGCATCCTGGTTTTATGTTCTCTGAGACACAGTTGTTTGTTCTTTTGACAGTCTATTCAGTACTCTACTCCAACACCGCAACTCAAAGGCCTCTGAACTCTTCTTTGACTGTTTATTTTGTTATATTATTAATTTTTTAAACTTTCAGATGCATTCCAAGTAATTTAAAAGCCCATGGAATAAGCCCATCTTAGTCTTTAAAATTACATCATTGTACCTCAGAACTTTGGAGAGGTCCTTGAACAGCAAATTTTTCCAATGAGATACTTCTTTTCATTTCTTGACTACTGGTACCAAAGTGTTGATTGTGGATCCAATAAAGATGAAATAATCATAATTTTAATCCTTTTTCCATCTATCAAGGTTGCCACCTATAAGCTCAGTGGTGAGGATTTTTGTTCTCTTGATGTTGAGATGTAATCCATAACAAAAGCTGTAGTCTCATATCTCCTGCAGTAAGTGCTCCAAGTTTTCTTCACTTTCAGCAAGCAAGGCTGTGTCATGCAGGTTGTTGATGAGTCTTCCCCTGATCTGACACCACACTGTTCTTCATAAAGTCCAGTTTCTGGAATGATGTATTCAGCATACAGACTGAATAGGTATGGAGGAAGAATACAAACTTGACACACACCTCTCTTGACTGCAAACCAACAACAGTGGCTACTATTTATTAAGCGCTTAAGAAGACTTGGCGGTGTAGTTCGTGGCTTCATGCACAAACTGAAAGGTCACCAGTTCAAATACATTAGTTACTCCACAGGAGAAAGATGGCCAGTCTTCTTGTAAAGATTTACAGCCTTCAAAACCTGATAGAGGGTCACTGTGAACTAAAACTGACTTGATTATAGTGGGTCTTATGACATAGCAGGTCCTTGGTTAACATCCTCATGCAAAAGCTCCATGTGGAAAGCATGTCCCATGCCTTATCTCATTTAAGGTTCACTACCACCACCACCACCACCATCTGAGGTAAGTAATGCTGGAATTTTCATGTCATAGATGAGAAAACAGAATAGTGGGGTCAAGTGACTTGTGAGATTCCACATCTATGAGAGGACAGGGCTGGAATGTGAAGCCAAGTCTTTCTGATCCTCCTATGCCTTAGCTTATTGGTTTTTTCAACTTGTCAAGTCAGTCAACATGCTGGTGGTTGTTATGTTGCTGTGGTGTACCACTGAGTCAGAACCAACTCATAGCTGACCCTCTGGCAGGTTTTCAGAGGCAGTAAATTGCACAGGAGGAGACTGCCCATCTTTCTACCAAGGAAAAGCTGGCAGATTGGAGCCACTGCTGAAGAGGCCTCAAATGAGGACAGTGGAGAAAGTAACTCAACTGAAGTTTACAATCATTAGTTAACATCCCTCCTCATGATTATTCAAGAGCCTTTTACCTACAAGACTTACGCAGGTAACTATGCTCTTCAAGAGAATTCTGGCGTCTTTTGGGGGCACATTTGTTCTTGTGCTGCCAACCCTGTCTTTCTGCATCCATAAAAGCAGGTTTTAAACTTTTTGCAGGAGAAAAAGGAAGACAGATGCAAATTCTCTGGGCAGCAGGACCCCAGCATTGGCCACTCCCCTTAGCATGAACCCCTTCCTGCCTCCCCTCAAAGCACTCTACAATTAAAAGCATGTCAGTCCTGTGGAATTTTCCTCTTCTTCTCTGGCGTAAGGGTTCTTTGATGATCAAGTTGCAAGTCCTCTGTCTGGTTTCTGAGACCCATGTAATCTGGTCACATCCCACCCACTTCCCATGCTACTCCCAAAAAGCTTGCACTCAACTACAACAACATGATTTTATCGTTTTATATAAATGCAGTTAGTTATTCAAAGATTGTCCAAAGATAGGAAAACAGAAAGGAAAATCCAAGTGCTGTCAAGTTCTCCATTTCTCATCGGTTATCAGCCCCCTGCCCGTGGGCAGTGCCAGGGCATGTGTTCACATCCTGCTGTGACCACACCGCGCCCAGGACGTGCCTGCCTCCCACAGTGAGAGAAACTCTCTTAAGCACACTGACCTTCCTGGGAAATTCCTTTTAAAGAAAAAGATGGAAGAGTCCAGAAGAGAAATGCCTGTGACACTGGGCCCAGGAAACAGCTACGTAAAGATGAAATCAGCAGGCGGGCATCCTTCCGCACAATATCCTCTGCTATCATGGACTGAATGGCTAAATTTGAACTGCTTTGACTAAAAACCTCCTTTTTTGTTTTATTTCTTGTTTCAACAGATTGTTTTTAGAGCAGCTTTAGGCTCACAGAACTGTGCGGAAGATACTGTATTCCCACAAGCCCCACCTCCTAGGTACCAGGGGCTGTTGAGTTAGCTCTGAATGATGACATCCCGTGCACATCAGGAAGACCTGCAACTTCTTCAGAAGCAAATTGCTGATAGTCTTTTCTTCCAAGGTTTCTTTTCTGTGCCATGGCATCAGAACCAACTCGTAGCTGACTCTCCAGTGGGTTTTCAGAGACTGCAAATCATACAGGAGAGACTACTCATCTTTCTCGCAAACAGCAGGTGGGAGATTTGAACTACGTACCTTTGGGCTGGCAGCACAGCCCCTAACCACTAGGCTACCAGAGCTCCCTAAGGTTTCTCTGGCTGAACTCAAATCTCCAACCTGTCAGTTAACAATTAAGGATGTTCATTGTTTACAGAATCCAAACAGGGCCTCCCTCTTGCCTTGAGAACTTTCTTGTTTTCAGTAGTGAAAAAGAACTGTTATTAGCATATAGCTTTTCTTTCTCTAAATGTTAAGCTGCATCATTCCATTTCAGATGGAGAGGTGGCTGCAGGTGGACTGAAGGACTGGGTCCTAAGCCCTGCCCTGGCAAGCAAGGTGAAGCTGGTTCACTGAAATAACCAACCTTTCTGGCCAGGAGACCATCCTATGATGGGAATCCCATGCACCTTACCTAGCTCGCAGCCTCTCTGTCCTCATTTTAGAGAACACCTGGACCAGAGACATCCTGAGCTGTCCCTGAGACAGTGGTGGACTGCACCCCACACCCTGAAGTGTACGTTATAGGAAACAAGCTACAGTGGTGAGAGGGGAGGAACCAGGACCCAGAGGTGAGTCAGCGCTGGAATCCCAGCCCAGTTCTGATTACTAAGCCTTCCTGCTCCACGACTTTGTGTATTTGGGGCTGCCACATCTGTGTAAGGAAATCCCTCCTAATAAGGACAGCAGTGGCACTAACACTGACACTGAGAGGCACAAGTGGCCCTACACGTCGCAGAAGTGAGTACAGGTTTGTTTTGGAGCCTGTCCAGTCTCTGCCTGCACTCAGGACCTCATGATCACTTTTTCCTCATCATTTTGGTAATCACTGCGCAGAATGTGCAGAAAGCCCTTCCCTGGTTTTCTTGTAAGAATTTCTGATTCAGCCTCTTGTTTCACAAGTAAACGTCACCCTAACCTGGTCCCGGAAGTGGGAAGCTTTAGAAGAAAAAAAAAAAAAATCACACCAAGGTCCTGTGGCTCTTTCACTTCCTCGTGATGGAAACGGGACATGGTCTCGTCATCCCACCCTAGTCCCGGTGTCCCATCCCCGCACACAGACGTGATGTGTATCCTTGCCTCCCGAAGCCTCACCTTCCGGAGATCTCCTCCTTGGCAGTACTCCATGGCCAGCAGGGGCAAGTCATTGGGGGCTAAGTTCTGCATGCCCTCGGGGACATCCCGGGCGGCCACCACGTTCGGGTGGGTCAGTCTAGGAAGGGGAGGAAATCAGTAAGGACAGAACCCGAGCTTGGTCTCAAGTCACACCTCACCCTCCTTCCATGTCTCAGTGAAGCCTGTCTCTCAACAAAGGCAGGAAAAACCAAGAGTGGCGCCAGTCCTCGGAAAAGGAAAGCATGCTTGGAAAGATGAAGGGTCAGCAAAAGAGAGGAAGACCCTCACCGAGATGACTGACACAGTGATTGTAACGATGGGCTCACATGTATCAGAGGATGGCATCGGATATGGCAGGGTGCAGATCCACTGCTCATAAGGTTGCTATGAACCACTGTTGACTCAACAGCACATAACAACAACAACAACAACAACAACAACAACTCAAGATTAAGTAAACCAAGGCACAGGTCCAGGAAAGGGCCTTCATGTCCAGCCTGTAGCATTCATGCAGCTCTATGCTGAGAACCACTGCAATGAGTGAGTGTGCACGGCGTGTAATTCAATTTTCTTTAGAGTACTACATAACAAATCCTCACTGAACTTCAAAATGCTTCTAAAAGCAGAGATAGCAGAAGGGCTTTTGATTTCACACCACTTGAGAGTGGCTGATGACAGCATTGATGAAGTGGACTCATATGCAAACAAGCCTCTTTTTAAGAGGTTACAGGCAGAAAGAGCAAGCTCACCAAGACTCCTCACTGATCCGTCCGCAGGGTTCAGATCCTGTTGTGCACAGGGCTACTATGAGTTGTTGTCAACTCAATGGCACATACATCAGTAGCATATGTAACAACTCAAGAATAAGTAAAAAAAGGCACTAGACTGTCAGACTCTGTCTCCACATCCGAGGAGTAAATGTCAAAATGGGATAACAGCAGTGCAGAGTTGCACACCATCTGCAGACCGGAAACATGGAGAAAAGAGTTTATGCTGCCAAATAAAAATTGACCCTGATGACTGTATTTCATTATTTAACATCACAGATAAAGCTAACCAACAAGGCATCATGTTACGCCTTAAACATTACACCACTTGTCAACAGTGTAGGGGTATTTCTTGTCTATTTGGACAGTATGGCTGGCGTCCTGGGTGAGGGACTGGGATGCAGGACTCTCTTCCAACTGGAACAGACTGAATTCACACAGAAGCTCAGGGCTTCCTCCAGATCCTAACATCCCCTGGCTGTTCATCTCCCGCAGTCCCTGCCCCACACAGCAGTTCAGCCACCAGCTCCGAGCATTTAGGCCCTCACCTTCTCATGATCTGGATTTCCAGGCACCACCGCTCCCGGTTCCGGGGGCTAAGCTCCTGCCGGCACTGCTTGATAGCAATCTGCTCGCCTGTTTCCTGCAGAGAGAGTATGGTGAGAAGCAGCAGAGAGAAGGGTCAAACACACAGACACAGCTGCAGGTCAACACAGAAACTGTCACGTGGAGAGGAACTACAGTGACTCCAGCCCTAGGATCTGAAGTGTCAAATGCAATCACTTCTGCTACCTCTGGAGGCTGGGGCTTGTGTCCACTGATAGAGATCCCCAAGCACCTGTCTGCCTGCTCAGGTGGGTCTCCACTGTTCCTCCCCATTCCTACCTTCCATGGCCTTTCTCCCACCTCATTTCTATTCAGCCAGAGTCTACAAATCCTTCAAGGTCTTGCTCAGCTCCTGCCTTCTTCATGAAATAGCTCCTAGCCATTTCTGCCCAGAAAGATAGAGCTTGACTCCAAATCACTCCAGTTATATTAGGGTAGTGTAGTCTGTAGAGTTGTGCTACTAACCTAAATGCAGCCAGCTTGAACCCACAAAAAGCTCTGCAAGAGAATATGAACAATCTTCCCGGTGTAATTTACAGGCTCCAAAAATCCAGTGGAAGATCAGGTCTGAGTTGGTTCTAACTTGACGATGATGAGTTTGAGAACTATATATGGTTGTTGCGATGTGACCATCTAGGGCCTACAAAAATGGTACTCTCATCAAATGATTCAACCTAATCAGTGCCATATTGAGAGTAACTGTTCCATGCAAGAGTTTTGTCTCTCGAGAGAAAATGTGTAATAGTACAGAGAGGCTGCAACACAGGTTGATTCAAACTCCAACCATACATGTATGAACTGTGTGAGCTTGTGCAGACAATTGAACTGACTCAATTTCTTAATCTGTAAAATGGGAATAACTTTCACCTCTAAGGGCTGTCGTGAAGATAAGCACCTATCCACCAGGGCCTAGTCCTTAGCAGATACTCAATAAACCTACTGAAGGGCACACCCCATGTCACACAGTGACCCTAAAGTGTAGCTTTGCCCTAACTTTCCAGCCACTCTCCCAAGACTCCACATTGAGTATCTGGTGCTGCAGCTGATTTGACACCTGGTCCGGTGCTTTCCTCGTGGAAGCACAAGACTGGCCTTTCTAGCTCCCGGGAATCTGGCTTTCCTTTATGTTCCCGCAACTTCTAACTTTGTCACTTTTGCACATACCTATGAAAAGAGTATTTTCTGTAGGGTAGCAGAGTTTCCTTTCTTAGTTAAATCTATCTTTAGGTATTTAACTGCTTGCTACCAAATTACTAAATAATAAACTAATCACAAGAATTGAAACTTGAGAAATATTTAGCTTGTAGCATTCTTTTTTGTTTGCTTGTTTTATTTAGTTCTTCTGTGTGTTTTTATTTTCTAGTATTTTTTTGAGATTTTATTGAAATATTATAGAGAACCTGGGTCTCATTTATTGTTCATATTTCCCTCCCTGCCCACCCCACTCCCACCCCAGTTCACTTTTCTCTTTGAGAAAAAAAAAGGAAATGATTTCATTATTATACAATCCGCACCCCCAATCCACTTACTTTACTTATTATGCAGCTCTTATTCTGGACTCTTGCATGCAAGTAATATGTACGTATATATCCCTTTTGAACAGTTCTCTCCCTCATCTGTTTCAATGCAGTGTATATTATTTATACTCTCTTTTCTTAGTTTCCCCTCAAACCCGACATTCAGATGGCAAACAAACACATGAAGAAATGTTCAAAATCCCTAGCTCTAAGAGAGATGCAAATCAAAACAACTATGAGATATATTATCTCACCCCAGTCAGAATAGCAAAATTCAACACAACAGCAAACAACAAATGCTGGCGAGGTTGTAGAGAAACTGGGACCCTTATTCACTGTTGGTGGGAGTGTAAAATGGTGCAACCACTATGGAAGGCAGTATGGTACTTTCTCAAAAAGTTGCAAATAGAGATACCATTTGACCCAGCAATTCCAATACTGGGAATTTACCCTAAAGAAACCATCACCGTCACCCAAGCAGATATTTGCACACCCATACTGACTGCTGCTTTATTTACAATAGCAAAGAGTTAGAAACAACTTAAGTGCTCTTCAACAAACAAATGGATAGAGAAGCTCTGGTATATCCATGCAACATTATACAGAATTGAAAAACAAGGAACTCATGAAATATTATACAAAATGAGTGACCCTGGAGGACATTATGCTGAGTAAAATATCTCAATCACAAAAGAACAAATACTGCATAATGCCACTGTTATCAAAACAGGACTGACATCAACTTTGTAGCATTCTTTTGAAGATTCTTACAAACTCTCTCTCTCTTCTCTGTCTCTCTCTTACAAAATCCCTAGGATCCTTCCAGAAGTTGCTTTCAGTGGAGCCCAGAATTACTTTGGTTATGCTCCCCATTATGCAGTGATCACACACACCTACTTTAAAAAATGGTCTGATAACACAATGAGATACCATCTCACCTCAGCAGGAGTGACAAAAGTTTAACAGGCCGGCAAGTAATAAATTTTGGAGAGATTGTGGAGAGATATAAACTCTTATACATTGTTAGTTGGTCTGTAAAATGGTACAACCACTCTGGAAGGTAGTTTGGCATTTCCTTAAAAAGCTGAACATAAAAATTCCATAGGACCCAGCTATTCCACTGCTTGGAATATACCCCAAGAAAATGAGAATTGAGGCACAAATGGAGACATGTACACCAATGTTCAGAGCAGTGTTATTCACCATCGCAAGAACATAGAAACTGCCCAAATGTCCAACCATAACTGAATGGATTGAGAAATTATGGTACATTCACACAATGGAATACTACACAGCACTCGGGAGCAATAATTCTGAAAATCACTACCTAACTTGGGAGGGACTGAGGAGCATTATGCTAAGTGAACTACCTCAGACTCATAATGACAAATACTGTAAAAGACCATTATTGTAGAACTGGGAAGATAACTGGTAAAATGTCTATGAGGATCCAAGGAGGGGAGAGTGGAAGCAGAGAGATGAGGATGAGGGGGTTATAATCATAGGGTCACAAAATTTGATGAGTGGAGGGTGGTGCGAGTAAGGAAATGGGAAAAAGATCTAGTGGGAAAAACAATGTATATGAACTTTGTAAGTAAACCAGTAAAAAATACAAAACTTAAAGAAAATGGTTTGATTGATGTATAATTCACATACCCTACAATTCACTCATTTTATGTAATCATTTTAGTGTATTCACAGAACTATGCAATTATTGCCACAATCAATTTAGAGCACTTTTATCACACCAAAATAACAATAAAACTTTGGTCCCATAAGCTATGCCCTCCCTCCAATGCTAGGTAACCTTGGTTATCTATTTCCAGATGACCAAGCAGATTTGCCTACAGTAGATATTTCACAGATATGTATTCATACACCATGTGGTCCTTTGTGACTGATTTTGTTCATGTAGCATTATGTTTTCAAGCTTTATCCACACTGTACCCATATGCTTACTTCTATGACTACAATATACTCTTTGGCCCAGCCTGCTATTGTAGGGATTGATAACCAAAATTCTACCACAAGTAACATTCACTTCCTTTACCTATAAGGGCCTTGCTGTTTGGCATGGATGCCAGAAGGTTCTTGCATGAGGGCTAATGTACAAAAATTGCAAATCCTGTCACTACTGAACCAACTAACAAAGTTGTACAAGTGAATTTGGGTAGAAGTTCATCTAAAAGGCTTCAAGGAGAAGAGAACATGCCAAAAAGAATACTATTTTTCCCCCAAACAATATCTTGTTAAGTCTTGCAAAATTTTACACTCTACACCATACACTTCCTGATTCCTCTGTATCATCTATTCGCCAAGTGATACGAGTTTCAGGTTTCACTTCCCATTAATATTTAAACTCACGCATGTTTGCTCAACCCCGTAGCAACTCCATTAGCAGCAGCTCTAACCAATGCTTTAATAAATGGTTGTCTCCAGTCAGGCAGAGTTCCAGAGAAACTCAGACTTGCAGAGTGCAGTGTTCACCAAACAAGAGGTCCTGTAACATTCAGGAGAGGGTCTATTCATACAATGTTTATATAATAAGCAGCAGTTTTGTAGGAGATACTGTCACTCATGGTTTGTTACCTCAGACTTTAAACCAAGATCTAGAATATCCGTACGTATTTTAAATTTCCTACACAGGAGCATTTATTCTTTTCCTATCACTCTTATAACAAACTACCACAAATGTTGTGGCTTACAATAACAAACACAGATTGACTCTGTTTCCATTTTAGAGACCAGAAGTCCAAAAGAAGTCTCACAGGGCTAAAGTGGATTGTGCCATCGGGGGTACATTCCTTCCAAGGCCTCCAGGGGAGAAGTCATTTTCTCTCCTTTGTAGAGACCATTCCTATTCCGTGGCTCCAGGCCTCTTCCTCCATTCTCAAAGCCACCAAAGATAAAGTGAATCTTTCCCCAACTGTATCCATCTGCAATTGACTCTCTTGCTTCCCTCTTCCATTTTTAAGGACACTGATTCCACTAAGTTAATAGAGGAGTGAGCTGATGAGGAGTCTTTGTTCCATCTGCAATTTTAATTCCCTTGTGTCATACAGTCTAGCATATTCACAGGTTCTGAGGATTAGGAAGCAAATATTTTGTATGTGAGTTCATAATTTATCCTACCATAAATAGTAAAATGAGGCATAATAATCAGACCACAAAGACAGATATTAAGTGACTTAGGAAATAACCTTTGTCCAACATAAGCACTGGACTGACACACAGCTGTCACATAGCCCTATCCAAAATTCAGGAATAGATTAATAGATTTTTTTTCTCATTGAAAAGTTCTTTTTGATCTCTAACTGAAGAGAGTGAACTCAGCAATGCTGTGGTTGTTGCTAGGTGCCATTGAGGTGACTGCGACCCTATGAATAACAGAACAGAACCTTGCCCTAAGCTGCCCCACCCTCACCATCTCTAATATGCCCATGCCCACTGCTACAGTCACTCAGCAATATGAACACTTAAAAAAGACTAACTGGTCACAGAGATCCAAACCAACTCCTTC